CCACGACACTATAGTGGGTACGGTAAGCTACCGTAATCGGATATAAAAATGAGATATTTCCATAGTAAAACATGGCATACCATTTAATAGCTTGTATTAAAGCCGCGACGTGGGAAGTGGGCGCATAGACGACGTATTTTAATACAAAAGGCGGCTAAAGGGATTTACCATATAAATAAAACATTTTAACGGTTTAAAACGCCATGTATATTAGTTAAACTTATGTAATTATTTTACAAAGTTTTATTTAAATGTGTACTACTCGCGTAAACTACAATTGAATGAATTATTCCCATAGTATTAGTAGTAATTGAATATTCTATGTCTCCTAGCTGGAAAAAAACGCGGCATTTCAAAATTATAAAAAATTTTTAAAAAAAAAATTTTTAAAAAAAAAAAAACCCCAAAAAAAAAATTTGTTAGTTTTTTTTTTTTAACTGAAATTTGGATATTAAATGATTGGTTGAACGAATATTAAAATTTTGTACGGCTCAAGAACCAATGTCCACAGATAAAAACGTGGTGTAGTGTAATTACGTTTCAGGTTCAGACTGTGGATTTCCGAATGTACCCACGGCTGGTCAACAGAGTACTTTGTTTAGATATTGTGTTTCTGGCGCATTTTACCTTCTAATTTAACTACCCAACCTTTTAGTTCCTTAACAGAAGCCGTAGGTACGCGAGACTAAAGATAGATGTCTCGAATGTCACAGATAAAACTACTACTGTTTACTAGCGCCACCTGGTATTTTTGTTGTTATATTAGTGCATTTGCAATATTAGCACGGTTCTTACAACGGTCGTTTTTCGGGGATTTTGTCTTTGCAACATATTTATTACTAGATGTGCCCGCGACTTGGTCCGCGTGGAATAGTGACTTGGGGTAGATTTTTTAATTATTTCGGCTGTTTATTAACTTATGTAAGGGCGCATTTAAGGCAGCCAATCTATGTGGTAAGTGCTACTTTGCCGCAACACTCTCACCTCAAATCACTCCTACTCTAACTTCCACTCTCATTCTTACACTCACTCTCACTCTCACTCTCTCTCCCACTCCCACTCCCACGCGTACGCAGATACCAATATGCAATTCTCTTATTTAAGCTAGCAGGTATACATACACATGTACAGTCTCTATATATACTATGTGCATAGTAAATAGTTTGTTCACTAGACAGACAGTCCAGCAACTAGTGATAATGAGAAAGCCTTGAACAAATGCGTAATGTCGGGCCATTGTGCCTAGCTAGAGCGTATTTCCCAAGAGTGGTTGTGTCGCAGAGTATAAAGAAATAACTGAAAGTGCGTTCCCTAACGACTAGGACTATGGATTGATATTACTTGATACTTGGACTAAAACTTAATAAATATTCAAATTCACTGATCAGCGTTGCACCTATTCAGTTTTTTTACATACTTCAGATCAGTGTTGTTTTTTTCTTAAACAGTATCTTAAATAAATGACTTCACTTAAAAATTATAACGTGATATGAAACGTGTAGATATACATTTTTTGAATGACCGTAAACTACAATCAAATGTTAATTATTATTTTTTGTATCTATATTCCGTAAAACATTCCCAAACAAAGGCTTGTAGTTAAAAATTTATTAACTAATATATTTCGCGTTTCGAACGGTTTAAAAGTATTTTATTATGTTATTTAAAAAAAAGATATAGATATATTTACTATCGATTAAATTAGAGTTAGTAGAGAGATTCCTCACATTTACCTAATAATATCAAAATTAATCGATCCAATTATAGATAAATCCATTTCAGTCGAAAAGTCTAAGTAGGATTTGGATCTGAATACCCTTCAGGCAAATAGGAGTAAATGGAGATGGAAATTTGAAAATTAAAAAATAATATAAAAGTTAAATTTTAACTATTCGTTAGTACAATGAATATCCAAGGCCAGAAGACTTCGACAGCGCATCTCGTTAAGATTGCTGTATGGTTGAAGTGTTTACCGTGTACCTTCCATCAAGTAAGCCCCAAGCTTATCTGTCCTTCTTTATCATGAAAATTTAATTTCCTTAACGATAACACCCCGGGACTAAATGGTTATAAGAATTGCGTTGCGCTTAGCGTGAGAAGTCCTTGGTTCAAATCTCGGGAAAACAAAATCGATCTGTCTATCAATCTGATTGTCTATTATTTATTTATTTAATTAATAACAACCAAAAGTAGAATGGTTTACATTAATAAAAAAGTAAAGTAAGTTATATTCTAGTACGTGTAGTATTAATTTAAAAAGGCAATCTTCTTATTGGTTCTATGAAATGAACAAAACTTCAATTACTCCAATCTAAAATGGTGTAAATTAAGCCAATTGGTCGAGTGCTGAAAAGGAATGAAAATGGAAAACCGTTGGAAAAAATGAAAAGGTTTTGAAGCATGAATATAAATGTGTATTGCGGACATCGGATTTACTTTATTTAAATTTCCTTAAGTGGATTGGAACTAGTCGAGTTCACTGAATCGATTAAAGATTATTAAGATTTCGTAGCTTAATTCACGAGCTGTTTGTTTTTATTATTATAACCAAGTGAGCTAGCGCGTTCTAACTATTGTTGAATTGTTGTTGGTAAGAGCAGCAGCACCTAACACTGCGGATGCTGGTTCAAGGCTTGACCGTGTCGTATAATTTTTCAATCTACTTAGATTTTTAATGTATATAAAGCCATCGTGTGCATCAAGTGAGAAATATTAAAGTTTTCAAACAAGAAATTATAATCTAACCAATTGAACCATAAACAATATCATTCTTTACTCTGTATCAATTTACCCACAGACTACACTTAACGGTTATACTAGATGTAGATGAAATACATTGTAGTCTGTGTATTGCTTATTTTGTTGTTTTTATCTATTATTATGCAAAGTTTGTGTCATACTTTTCTCAAATAATTCGCGAAATTTAAAATAAATAATACAGCATAACTTTAAAGCCAACGACAAAATTAACGAACAACTAACAATAGTTTATAACGCGCCAATTTTTTTTTCACTAAGCAATTTTCTATGTGCCAGCCAGTACGAAAATTAAATTAAACCTTCCCTAAACTACCTCTTTAGTCAAAGATTGTCTCAGTTTTTAAATTACACGTCACATGATTTTACATAGTAATTTATTGGGCCGGTAAACAGATATGGATTTCATACGATTATTGACGGCGCCTGCTCAACCTATACTGTTCAAAAAATATTCACAAAATAATGCTCTAATTTCGAACCATGCTTGAGAAAAATAAATTAAATATAGGTAAAGAAATTTAAATTTTCAAAAATTCCAAGACTTGACATAAGCCTCGCCGTAACGTCAAATGGGCGAAGATGGCGGTTCTAACGCGTAAAACCTAAAATGGTGTTATTTAAAGTATAGGTATTGAGTATTAATGTTAATATTCAAAATAACAGAATTTGTGGTTTGTTTCGGATAAATGCAACAACAATGGGTTTGATTTTGTTCATAGATATTTAAACGAATCTCCGTATATACATTACTTATGATTACTGTCAAAGATTAACTTAAAACTAAAAAATTGTTTGCAAATGGAATGTTTCATTATTTAGCAGTTTTCCACGTGCTTAAGCCAAGAGTTGTTAAGTGAAAGAGTTATGAAGATAAAAAACGGTTTGCATGACTCCGCGATATTACTTACCGTGGTAGCGCGCTTAAACACGGCTAGCGCCAGTAGAGAGTCCAATAAAATGCCGAATTTACAACTTTCATGTAAATAAAGTTAAGTGTCGGCAAAGAACAAAAGACCGCTGCCATTAATAAAAAGTTTCTATGAGAGAAACTTTCGCAATATTACGACAGTGCCCATTCATAAAGTTTAAGGAAGCAGTCTAGAATTTTTTGCCCAGCTAAGAATCGCGGCTTCAGAGTTTGTAGATTGCAGGATCAAAACTTTTGTTGACTCCCTTGCGCTCGTCGGTGAGCATTTTAATTAAAAATTCAATTTTATTTCCTACAATTATAATAGCAAAAATATTATATTAAAATTAAGTGTGACAGATTAAGATAACTTGACAGATTCAATACAGAAATCCTAATAAGACGTTATATTTGTTTCGTTCAAAATGTACAGTAACAGAGAACGTGAGAAAAACGTGTTCTTCATACTTTGTATGAAGTGTTAAATGTATGTATGTATTTAGCATTTTTATCGTATCTCAATTTAAAATAAATAACTAATATATTTCACTTTTAACATCGTTTAATATTATTCTTTTACCAGTGTCGCGAAACAATCTCTAAGTTGATAAGTCAAAATTTCGATATTTGTGATGTTTTATTTTAATCCCCCCCCCCCTTCCTTTTTTTTTTTTCCCCCCCCCCCCCCCCCCCCCCCCCCCCCCCCCCCCCCCCCCCCACAAAAAAAAACCCCCCCCCCCCCCCCCCCCCCCCCCCCCCCCCCCCCCCCCCCCCCCCCCCCCCCCCCCCCCCCCCCCCCCCCCCCCCCCCCCCCCCCCCCCCCCGCGGGGGGGGGGGGGGGGGGGGGGGGCCGGGCCCCCCCGGCCGGGGGGGGGGGGGGGCCGGGGGGCCCCCGCCCCCCCCCCCCCCCCCCCCCCCCCCCCCCCCCCCCCCCCCCCCCCCCCCCCCCCCCCCCCCCCCCCCCCCCCCCCCCCCCCCCCCCCCCCCCCCCCCCCCCCCCCCCCCCCCCCCCCCCCCCCCCCCCCCCCCCCCCCCCCCCCCCCCCCCCCCCGCCCCGCCCCCCCGCCGGCCCCCGCCCCGCCCCCCCCCCCGCCGCCCCCCGCCCCCCCCCCCCCCCCTCGTCGGCCCTTGGGGGGCGCCGGGGGGGGGGGGGGGGGGGGGGGGGGGGGGGGGGGGGGGGGGGGGGGGGGGGGTGGGGGGTTACTTGATAATATAAATCACACACGTAGACACTTCTTCGCCTCGGGGCAGTGAATATTGGCGCTTCATAGCATTTTATAAGTTCTAATTATTAAAGTGAATAAATTGTATTCAACCTTCTGCAAGAATCGAATCACGAATCGCCCCTCAGATCACAATCGCTAAGAAGCCAATAAGCCGTTTCTTCACATGTCTTACCCGCCTCCCCAACTCTTTCGCATACGTGGGTAAATCTCCGATTTTCCCCATTTTTCCCAACATGTGCGCCAATCGTAACATGTGCGGGGCGTGGCCCCGATTTATTGCGAATTCTTTCTTTGAGATTCGCTCGGATACCAGCTTTATCTCTGCTCCAATGAATTTTATAGTTAATTTAAATTTTCCTTTTGTTACTTTAATAGAATTTTCGTAGTAGAAATACTTTGTATTGTATATAAATGTTTCGTTTATATAAAATAATAAATATGATTAAAACATTGACATCCCATGTGTCCTTGTGGGCATGGGGTGAATTCATTGATGATCGCAAAGAAATTCGAGCATACCTATTATCGATGCCTTTACATACAAACAGATAGCACCCACATTTTACCCACCCACATTTGATCATTTTATCAAATGTATAGGCTTAATATTTATATAATATATATTACTAGCTGTGCCCGCGACTTCGTCTACGCACTTGTTAACATCCATCCACACATACAAACTTTCACGTTTATAATATTAGTAGGAGTAGGATTTCTATCTTGAAGTGAATGATGAATCAAAACATGATAAAGGTTATTCAAATATTGTTGACCATAGTTGCAAGACAAGCAGTTTCTTTGTAGGGTCTGTATGGATAACATGACCATGTAGATTAGCGCGTGATTCGCCTACCAGGCTATCATGAATAATAAGAAGATTACATTACAACTACATAGTTAGTTAGTTAGTTAGTTAGCTACCCAGAAGATAAAGCATATACAATTTAAGTATTGTGTGTAGTTCACAGTGGCATATAAGAAAACATTTAACTGATGAAAAATCAAACAATCTATTTCGCGTTTAGGGTGAATCGTGGTTTACTGATTATGAAATGTCAATGTCATGTTAAGCAGGAGAAAAGCACTTTTAGTTCTGACCAAAAACTAGCGGATTTTACCGTAAGACACACCTCACAAGACATTGTAGTGCATTACTAAATTAATATTTACATACGCTTTCGCTGCCGCATTCCGCTTAGCTTTACGGCAAATATTTAGACGAATGTCCACCTAGTGAAGTGGCAATTTCCGTAATCTCCACTAACAACTATAGATATGTCATAAATCTTTTAAAACAAGATGGCGTAACAACTGTCATAGCCTAACCACAGACTGCGTCACTAGTCACAATCGATTGTAACATCGCAACCTACCCCAAAATCGATACCCCAGATATCTAATTACTCGGAGGCGTAAATAGCGCCCCTCATATTGATTATGAGCGACCTTGATGAAAAAAAATTAAGTCAAAGACCGACCCAATTTTTGCGAGTTTCCCCTTGTTCATTGCCAAGTTTAAAGAAACCGAGTGCTGGCCATTAAGTCGGCAAGCGTCTGCTGAGAAAAAGATCTTTAATGAGTCGAAGGAAGCTGGGGCGTTTAAGAAATGCGCTGCGATTGTTACACTTTGATACTTGAACGGGCATATTATAAATTCGAACATATCTGGGGACGTGGAATCAAAAAGAGGTTAGTATGTCTGTATATATATATTTGTATGGAATTTTATTCTCTTTGTTTTTAAAACATGGCATACTGTTAACATCTTTAGAAATGTATATAAAAATAAGACATCAAATTTTCAAATTTTCGAGCCTTATAAGGGTCAAAATCGAATGTACTTAATAATTCTTTATTACTAAATGCAAGATACACAACTATATTCTAATTGTTTGTATTTATCTGTCATAAGAATATCCCATATAGTATGTGACTTTTTCTTATATTGACCATAACTCTATGATATGTTTAAATAAAACACATTTTAACGGTTTAAAACGCGAAATGTATTTGTTAAACTGCTTTTTTCTAATGTTAAGTATTTATCTACATGTCAATCGTTAACGCAACTTAATATTTACCCGCGCAAGTTTGTCGGCTCGGTCGCGGTATAATTAATAAAAAAGAATTAAAAAGAAGTCGGAATCAACGGTCGCGTGCCCCAAAGGCCAATGTCCTTTAGACAAGTTAGTCCCCTCCGTATATCTGTCCCTCTCTAATTAAGCATTTAATCACTGTGCTTGTCTCTTTCTGAGGGATGGTAATATCATGTTACTTAATACCCCGCTGGGCTCATCGTATAATAATTTTCCAAATACTTCAGCTCCTTCGTTATTTGTCTGATCCGTGTTTTTCCGCGATATTTGCATTGTCTTGTCTCAAACTCATTACATTCTCTACTTTCTTATATGTGGGATATAGACTTTTAAAATACTTCGTTCTTAGTAACAATTTGAGTGACTGATATAAAAGCGATAAACACATATTATTTTATCACCACCTCAAGCTGAAGACGAAGAAATGAAATACTAGATCCTTTATAATATTGTTGAAATGAGATTTTCCCGCGAATGATATACGGAGAATGGTATCCGCTATCGTGAGTAAGCAATAAAAGTAAAGTATGTCTAAAAATATCGTTAAGTAGCACGCCCCTTAATATCTTCTACGCGAGCGCACCCGACGCGCCGTATCGGAGAATTTCCATCTGAATATTTTCTCTTCTTATTGTCGTTATCTGAAAAATATGTTTTTCGTACGGTCCGTATACCCCTAGAGATGCTTAGATTCTAAGTAGATATATCAGTCACGCAATTTACAATAAACTATCAACTCTAACTCAATGTGTTAAAGTTGATAATTCGTTATCTAAAATGCCGGTTGCGTTCCTCCGGAGAAGCTAAAGAAAAATAGTACGTAGTTTGCCAAGTAAGTTTGAGTTTTATGTGTGTAGTGTAAAGTTTATTTTCGAGTGGGTTGTGTTTAGGAGGAACCGGAAGTGGGAGGAAGGGGCAAATGGACGGAAGAGAAGTGAAGGCAAATAACTTTTCTCTATACGTACACGTTCGCATTGAGGACATAAATTTTCTCCTCGAGTTTGACAATGAGACACATTTTTCAGTCCAAAATATACCAGTGGAAGTATTGACTATTGGTTTTGTTAAGTTTCTCTTCGGAACGCTGGGTAACCCATTAGTTTAGAAGTTAATATTTTTAAATCAAGAACGATGTACAAAAATACACGAATCTATAATAATGTACTAAAACGCAATTATAATTTTCTAAGTGAAATATATCGGTTAACATTGCACTGTGCAAAAAGTCCTGAGTTCGAATCCATTCAAAATAATAAGTTCTTTCGGTCGGGTAGGGCATAAAATTCGGATGAACTTAAATAAAAATAGATCAATGAAAGAAACACGGCAATGTGTTTGCCCCGCGCCCTATGGGGGAAAACAGGATTTCAATATAAACCTATTTTGATATTTATATTAATAATTCCAAACTTATTTTAAACAGTAGTTACTAATACATCATTTAGGTAATATTATGTTTAATACTTTCTTTTGTTTCCCCGCGGGGGGCCCCCCCCCCTAAAAAACCCCCCCCCCCTTCCCCCCCCCCTTTTTTTTTTTCCCTTTTTTTTAAATTTTTCCCCCCCCCCCCCCCCCCCCCGCCCCGGGGCGGCCCCCCGGGGGGGGGGGGGGGGGGGGGGGGGGGGGGGGGCCCCCCCCAAAAGAAAAAAAAACCCCCCCCCCCCCCCCCCCCCCCCCCCCTGGGGGGGGGGGGGGGGGGGGGCGGGGGCCGGGGGGTTTGGGGGGTTCGCGCCGGCCCCGCCCGGGGGGGGTTGGGGGGTTTTTGGGGTTTTTTTTTGGTTGGTGGGGGGGGGCCTTTGGGGTTGCGCGGGGGCCCCCCCCCCTTTTTTTTTTTTGCTTTTTTTTTTCCCCCCCCCCCCCCCCCCCCCCCCCCCTCCCCCCCCCCCCCCCCCCCGGGGGGGTGGGGGGGGGGGGGGGTTGGGGGGGGGGGGGGCCCCCCTGTTGGGGGGGGGGCCCCCCCCCCCTGGGGGGGGCGCCTTTTTTTCCCCCCCCCCCCCCCCCCCCCCCTTTCCCCCCCCGGGCCCCCCCCCCCTGGGGGGGGGGGGGGGGGGCCCCCCCCCCCCCCCCCCCCCCCCCCCCCCCCCCCCCGGGGGGGGCCCCCCCCCCCCCCCGGGGGGCGGGCGCCCCGGCCCCCCCCGGGCCGCCCCGGGGGGCGGGGGCCCGGCGCCCCCCCCCCGCCCCCCCCCCCCCCCCCCCCCCCCCCCCCCCCCCCGCGGGGGGGGGGGGGGGGGGGGGCGGGGCCCGGGGGGGGGGGCCCCCCGGGGCGGGCCCCCCGGGCCCCCCCCCCCCCCCCCCCCCCCCCCCCCCCCCCCCCCCCCCCCCCCCCCCCCCCCCCCCCCCGGCCCCCCCCCCCCCCTCCCGGGGGCCCCCCCCCCCCCCCCCCCCCCCCCCCCCCCCCCCCCCCCCCCCCCCCCCCCCCCCCCCCCCCCCCCCCCCCCCCCCCCCCCCCCCCCCCCCCCCCCCCCCCCCCCCCCCCCCCCCCCCCCCCCCCCCCCCCCCCCCCCCCCCCCCCCCCCCCCCCCCCCCCCCCCCCCCCCCCCCCCCCCCCCCCCCCCCCCCCCCCCCCCCCCCCCCCCCCCCCCCCCCCCCCCCCCCCCCCCCCCCCCCCCCCCCCCCCCCCCCCCCCCCCCCCCCCCCCCCCCCCCCCCCCCCCCCCCCCCCCCCCCCCCCCCCCCCCCCCCCCCCCCCCCCCCCCCCCCCCCCCCCCCCCCCCCCCCCCCCCCCCCCCCCCCCCCCCCCCCCCCCCCCCCCCCCCCCCCCCCCCCCCCCCCCCCCCCCCCCCCCCCCCCCCCCCCCCCCCCCCCCCCCCCCCCCCCCCCCCCCCCCCCCCCCCCCCCCCCCCCCCCCCCCCCCCCCCCCCCCCCCCCCCCCCCCCCCCCCCCCCCCCCCCCCCCCCCCCCCCCCCCCCCCCCCCCCCCCCCCCCCCCCCCCCCCCCCCCCCCCCCCCCCCCCCCCCCCCCCCCCCCCCCCCCCCCCCCCCCCCCCCCCCCCCCCCCCCCCCCCCCCCCCCCCCCCCCCCCCCCCCCCCCCCCCCCCCCCCCCCCCCCCCCCCCCCCCCCCCCTTCTTCTTTTTTTTAATATCATATTTAAAATATGACGTAGCAAAAAACGTTAAGAAAGAAAATTTTCCGCTATTATTTTCTTAAAGAAAACCTTCGATACGCTTATTCTATGTTTTAATAGCATTAAACTGTCCACTTACAAATTCGCTATAAAAAGAGGTTCGCATGTAAACCAGTAATTTCGAGTTCTGATTTGAGCTTGTTGGCTTCGAGCATAGTCCTCGAAAGACCGCGTTTTATCGCTCATAAAATTCCTTTTACAAACAATTACCACAGAATAAATATTAGGAGCACGTTTAATTTCATAGGTAAATACGGTTATACTTGTGTACAGTGTTTTCATTGACTCCTTTTAAACACGTAGTACAAAGCCTTAGACTTAGAATTATTGTGCAATATTTTTAGCATTTAGAAATTTGAAAAAAACTTTTAAAAGTATTTTAAGTTCAAAATGTGTTATTATTTCTACTAGCATTGTTTTTATTATAGAGGAAACAAACGAGCATGAGGTTTGATGGAAGTTGAAATATTCCAGCCATATAACATATCAAGACGTTGCGCTATCGACCTATGTTGGCTTTGGATATTTAAGCTACGTACACATTCGTTGCAGAGTTAACCTTAATATGTTATTTTAAAGCTAAGCAAAAATTTGTTTTGCGTTAACAATTCGTTAGAGATTTCACTTTCTTGTATTTTTATATAAAACTGTTAAATTAATTAAAATTAAATAAAAAAAAATATTAAAATTGAACAAAATTACACGAGTCAAGTTAACCTGGAGCTACACATATATGTTGTACACGATACAGGTAAATACAGTTACGAATCGAAAATTAAATCCTTGCTTAATATCGCGTAATATCCTTTGTGGTCTCGAAAATTCTTTCCCAAGTCGAATATCAAAGCACGAAATATAGAAAGTTGGGTGCCCTTTGAGCAGTCGCGTTATTATTTTCTCAAGAACCTCTTTTATATAAAAGAACGCTTCAGATACTGAGGGTGGTAAAGGGAAAAATATGACGGAGTTGCGATGCGTCCATCTCTATTCTACCCCTGTTCTAGAGAGGGATGCAAGAGAGTTATTCGAGCACCTTTCGAGTTAAGAGTCTCCCATACTCGTTACGTCATGCCCCGGGCTTGTGTGGGAGGAATTTTGACATATTTTATAAAAAATCCCGCTACATACTTACCTTGTATTGCAACTTTTGACAATAACGAGATGAAAGCTGTATGGGGCTATGCCAACAATGCAAAACGGAATTACTTGAGTTTCAAGGAAATTGGAACAACATTAATATTCGTAGAGTAATTTTAAAGAAACAAAATATATGTATAGCACAAATAGTACTAATTTATTGGCAAAACTACAGTAGACGAAGACTGTCGATGTAGATGTCTTTAATCACTTACATAAAAAAGCAGATATTGTCTACAGTCCTTGGGGTGAACTCACAAAAGTTTTGTTTATTTTGTGCTATGAAATATAGAAAACATGTGCACATTGTAATTGTTTAAGTATTTTTGTAATAATTTATTTCTCCATCACGTCTGCTATAGAGTTTGAAACATCGGAGATCGTAGTTAACAAGAAATTGATTTGCACTTTAAAACCTTAATAGTATTTTCTTTATATGTAAAGTACACAATACACAAATTTATTGCTATAATTAGGTAATAGATACACTTAACAGCCATAGATGTCTCTCATGTAGACATGAAATGGGTGATAGGAAGAAACGAAATTCCAAGTCACGAGTTACCGTCCACAGATAAAAAAATAAAAAATGTAACAACGCATTACGCTTATAGGTAGTCTGTGGATTTTCGAATATGTAGCGCCGCCATAGTTAATTAGTTGTCAGTGCATTCTCTCTCCGTTTGTCTGTCTTCCTATATATAATCTGTAACATGGATTAATTTGTGTAGCATGCCTCGATTGCAAATACTTCGTGTTCCTACCAACCTACATGCGTAGAATTAGCGTGGGCTAAGTTTATGTTTATTATCCAGCGTAAGTATGACAAGACAATACGTGAAACGTACAGAACTAAGGAGGACAACCCAACAAGGTAAGGAATATTGCAAAATGAAATCCTGCTTCAAATAATTGTTTATCAAGCTGTTGGTATTTACTACTAATGAACTCTCATTAAATTGGACACTATATAATAAAGCAATAACAATGTACGTTTCTTAGTATACATTTTT